TCTCTCCTCTCCTCTCTCCTCTCTGTTCTCTCTTCTCTCCCCTTTCTCTGTCTCTCTCATTTGTTTTCATTGTGGTTATTTTTTCTCCATCACTGTTTGATTTTGTTTTTATGTATGTGTGAATGTAGTTTCCAGCCTCTTTGTGGTTGTTGTTCTGTTCTGTTCTTCTTTTTAGCTCTTCCTTCTCTATATTCCTACCGTCTTCCACACCAGTTTCCCAAAGTTAGCATGATCACACTTTGTCCTCCAGCTTTACTTTTAATCTCTTCCTCTTCCTCTACCTCTCAATTTTTTGCCTAACTTCTTTTAAATGTTAACCACTGAGGGTAAAAATTGATATATTAAGGACTTATATACTGCATATAATTTTCTGGTCTGTCTTAGATCTTTGTTAACTAAAACTAGTTCATATGTTTGAAGGTGGAGAATTAATGATTACCTGTATTTGTCATGTTTTAGGCTGTGACTGATCCTATTTTATTATTGTTCATGATACCACTTTAAGCAAAAGTGTCATAATTTGATGTAGATGGATATTCTTCCTGGTATTAAAACACTGTGATTGGGCCAGGGAGATAGCTTGGTGGTCTAAGCGCCAGCCTGCCAAGGACAAGGATCTGGGTTTGATCCCCAGTGGTGCATGCCATTCCACCCCTGCGCCATGTGGGCCACTGAAACTGGGCATAGTGGCACATGCCTGTAATCCCAGCACTGGGGAAGCTGAGACAAGAGTATCACTGTGAGATAAGCTGCAGAGTGAGACCCTACATTAAATAAATAAATCAATCTTTTTTTCTTAAAAAGAAAAATAAAGACTAAGATGGAGTAAGAATCATAGAAAATACTGTGGCATGGTCCCAAAGAACCAGAGTCTGGGCTAAACAGCCAGCAATTTCTCATCTCCAACAAATTGACAATGTAGAATCTGACAACAGACTCAAAAACCCAAAAATCGCTTACAGCTAGAAGACACCTTGGAGAAGTAGTCCTTTCCTAGATGTTCTAAATACTAGCACTAAAGCAACAACTCATGGAAATTTACAAGTATCACACTAGGAATGAAACTAAAAAAGAAAAGAAAATGAGAGGACATTTAACAAGGTACCAACCTAGACATCCTGTTTACCAAAAGAAAACTGAAGGGGCAGGAGAGTGGGACAATCTGAAATCTACCAAGCTCTGAACTGGTAACAACAGCATCATTGAATAAGGCTCTAGAAAAAAAAAAGAAATCAGAAATAGTTTTTCAGATAACTGCAGAGGAGACATCCACAATGAAAGCCATGCTTGGTGCCTCTAGAGAAGACAAAGCCCTGAAATAGAGAAGCTTAAGAAAATTGTGGAAGTCATGAACACTCAGCATAGGAAAGAAGTGGAATCCATGGGGCACTTCTTTTTGAAGAAGCAGTGCTGATATTTGAAGCAGATATCCAGGAGAATAAAAATTCCATTGATAGTATCCACAGCAGATTAAGCCAATAGGAGGTTAGGATCTCAGACATAGAAAACAGGTTTGTAGTCAGTGATCATGAGAAGAAAGATTTCTTAAAAATAGCAAGTGACCATGAAATCTCAGTACAATAGCTTCTGACTGAGGCAAAGAATATCTTAGGATGGACTGGTGTCAATGAAAAAGCAGGAGAAAACACAAGTGATATAAAAATCTGTTCATAGACGTCATGGCAGAAAACTTTCCTGGTAGGGAAAAAGAATTTTGACATTCAGTAAGTGAGGCACGGAGAACTCCAATTAGCCAGGATCAAAAAATCTACAGCCAGGCACATCATAATCAAGATTTCAGAAGTTCAACACAAGAATAGAATCTTAAAAGCTGTCAGGGAAAAGAAACAAATGACGTACAAAAGAAAGTTCATGAGGATCACAGCTGACATGCTGAGCATAACCCTCAAGTCAAGGAGAGCTTGGAGTAAAATATTTGAACTTCTAAAGGAAAATAATATTGAACCCAGACTGATACACCCTGAAAAACTATCTTTCAAAACGCCTGGACAAATAAGACACTGCATGACAGAGAACATTTGAGAAAATTTAAGACCACCAAACCAGAACTCCAAAATGTCTTGAAGGGCATTCTAGAAAGAGCTAGCAAGACTACAGCTCTATGAACCCCAACAGGAGGAATCCACCAGGCAAAACAAACAATTACACAGAGAGAGAGACAGAGGAGGAGGATCGCACAACAGGAAAATAGCATGAAAAGGATAAGTCAATGCATATCGATTGTAACCATCAATGTCAATGGTCTTAATTCACCAATCAAATGACACAGAATGCCACAAAAGACACAGAATGGCAGAATACATCAATAAGCAATGATAGTGACAGTACAACATACCAGAATTTATGAGGACACAAAGAAACCAATGCAAAGAGGGAAATTTACAGCATCAAATACCCATATCAGGCAAATAGAGCAAGCACATGTAAATAACTTAATGATGAACCTAAAACTTCTAGAAAAAGAAGAGCACGCTAAGCCAAAACCTCACACAAGAGAGGAAATTATAAAGATCCAAGCAGAAATTAACACATTAAGAAAACAATGCAAAGAATGATTGAATCAATGAGTTGGGAAGTGGGGTTAGTTCAGCATATGTAACTCAATAAATGCAATGCACTGTATTAACAAAACCAAGGACAAAAATCATATGATAATCTCAGTGGATACAGAAGAAGAGATAAAGAAGGTCACTACATCCTTATAAAAGTGCACTTTATCAGTTGAGTTTGATAAAGCCCAAATCTATTCATGATGAAAACTTTACCAGAAATGGGAATAGATGGTCTTTATTTCAATCTAATAAGTGTCATTTATGACAAACCTCCAGCCAACATTAGACTAAATGGACAAAACCTAAAAACTTTCACTCTAAAATTAGGAACAGCACGAGGATGTCCACTATCTCCACTGTGATTCAACATAGTCCTAAAAACTTTATCTAGAACAATTAGACAAGAGAAAAAAATAAAAGGAATTACAACAGGAAAGAAAGAAATTAAATTATCATTATTTGCAGATGACATGATACTCTACATAGAAGACCCTAAAAACTTCACTAAAAAAATGACAGATTTAATAAGCAGATTCTACAGCACAGGTGGACAAGTCAACACTCAAAAATCAATAGCCTTCCTGTACATGAATAATAAACACTGAGAGAGAGATCAGGAAAACACCTTTCACAATAGTACCCAAAAAATGAAATCCCTAACAAATGATGTAAAAGATCATTACATTGAAAACTACAGTACCCTGGGAAAGATTGAAGAAGCTATCAGAAAATAAAACAATATCCCTTGCTTTGGGGTAGGAAGAACCAGTACAGTGAAAATGGCCATGCTTCCAAAGCTGTTATACAGTTATACAGTTTTGATAACTGGTAACAATTCCAAAAGCACATCTCACAGAATTAGAGAAAACAATTCTAAAATTCATTTGTATTCAGAAAAGAACCTAGAACAGCAAAGGCAATTCTAGATAACAAAGACAAGGCAGGGAGCTGAGAACATGTAAAGGACTCAAAAAAGCCAGACCTCCCAACTTTACAGACCTAATCCAAAAAATGGGCATCTGAGATGTGTACACACTTCTCAAATGAAGAAATACAAGCAGCAAATAAATATATGGGAAAAATGTTCAACATCAGTGGTCATTTGAGAGATGCACATTTAGGTTTTTGTTTTTTGAAGGGTCTCACTATGCAGCTTGAACTGGTAGTAATCCTCCTATTTTCTGCCTCCCTAGTGCAGGGATTACAGGCAAGTGCCACCAATCTTGGACTCCATCTCTGGCTCAGTGCACCCTGGGGGCAGGGCCAGCATGGCATGCGGTGCCAGGGATCAAACCTGGCCCCTGCGCTTGCCTAAGCAAGTGCTTAGACCACTGAGCTATCTTGCCGACCCTGAGAAATACAAA